AAAATTTTGCACAGATATTTGGGGTCCCCAGAGGATGTACCCCAATGACTTTGAGTATCTCCTGGATTTCCATGTTTCGCCACCAGCAGATTGAAGTTTTTAGTTGTCCAGTGACTTTGCTCAACATCGCTTCAAAGGATTGTCAAGAAGTCATTGTCTCCAGAGTGTGAACCATACTTACTTATAACTACTAATGATATCCTCTGAGTCTTCACGTGATGCCACTGGCAGGTTAAAAATCCCTAATTATCCTGTGAAATATTTCAAAAGCTTAAAAGAGGAATTGCACAAACATTTATGGTACAAAGAGGATGTACCCCACTGATTTTGGTAGTCCTCTAAGTTTTCATGTTGCATCGATAGCAGGTTAATTGTCGATTGCAATATCTCAGTATCTATTTAAAGGATTCCCACAAAACTGTGTACTAACATTCATGATCCACAGAAGATGTACCCCACTGGCTTTGAGAAAAATTGTTGCGCAGATGCCCAGTGGATGAGCTGTAATGACTCTGCTAGCCTATGATTTTTCCTCTAGCACCACTTGAGATTTAAAACAAAATGTCTTGATGTCTGTTTGATTAAAGAAATATGGTTTACATGTTCCTGTTCCCATCAGGATAAACTCTAATCATTTTAGTGATCATTTTTTTCACCTAATATCATCATATCAAAATGTGTTTAAGTGTGTTGGAGTATAAACAAAAGCCTGCAAAACTACAGACACTCCCGTCAGTTTAAGCTGATTAGAAAGTGTTAGCTTGCTTATAGAATCTTAGCCAACTGCCTTCATTTTAGGGAGATTTTCATGCTTTATGTTTTGGAACTACAGTTCTAAACTTGATGTCACTGTGAGTTAACTTAAACTTTGTTATTTTTAATTAATTTGTTTACAATTTGGCAAACTGTCACCATTAACAGTGTGCCAGATAAACTCTTTGCATTTTCTGTTTGTGGTGTGCATATACATGTGCAGAAAACTACCACTGGATTACTTTGATGAGGAAAAATGTCAAGATTATCAGAGAAGTACTGGATGCACAAAGAACTGCTTTGCTGTGTGGTTTCTAAATGGATTATGGGTTTTGGTATTAAACTGAAGATACCATCAGGAAATGTAAATCAAACCTAATCAAGTCTGTGTGTTCAGATTTTACAGGACAAGAAAGATTTTGACGCAAATTGTGGCTTATGCCTCAGAGTGCTTTCTGCCAGAACGCCACCCTAAGCCATAACGGACCTTTTGCGATCAAAAACAAGCATCTGGACTTGTGAAACTCCGTTTGGTGTTTGCCCTTCATGCACTCATCAGTTTGTTGACAACGGAGAGAATGATGACTCATGTGACTTATTCTCACTGCTCACTTTGTTCTCTGCACCATTACACTCACAAAAGAGCATTTTTAGTTTTAATATGGGGTTTATGTATCGCGTCCCGGCACACACACTCTGTGAAGTTGTCAGCAGACTCTTGTTGGTGGACATTCCTGCTCGCTCCTTTGATCTGTGTTTCACGAGCTGGAAATTATACGATTCCAAATGACATTCGAGCAAAGTTTAGTTTTCCAAATTCGTTTGTGATTGTGCGGTTTTATTTAAACGCTGCCTGGTCATATGTCAAATATTTGATACACACAGCTTCGTGATGCATTGCTCATGATTTCGTGGTCCGCAGATTGTTTGCTTTGTTGCTCAGATGAAGTTGTTTTTTTGGAAACCACAGCATCATTTAAAGTCAAATCTTTTTTTTCTCAATCGAGGTTGACAGCCTTTTGGACAAATGCTCACAAAATGTTGTGCTTTTTTTTGTTCGTGCATATCATGATTTTGAAAGCCATATATAATACTGTTTGGCTTGAAGATAAGAACAACATCTGTCCACAATTTCAGGGCATATAATTTTCCGGTTTATGAATACAGAAAACATTCATGCTTATTAATTTGTCCACCAAAATAAATGCATTATTTCTTTGGAAATCCTTTTGGCCTTTGTATAAACGTAAAGTGATACATGTTGAAGTTGCTCTTACCAAAATGTCCACAAATGTAACACAAAGTCAAATCAATCACATTGTTTTCCTCCTAATGTGGCACAGAGTTATGCCCAAAACGATTTCATGTAAGCTTACATTTCAGATCCCTTGACTTCAGAGGGAAATATTGGACTTTTTGCTCAACTGAATTTATTTTACAGCTGGCTCTTCATTAAGAAACACATGAAAGGAATGCATACAGTTACACTCGTAGTTCCAAGCCTTTAGCTTGTGTATACAACGGAGACATTAGGTCTCTACACATCACAAATGGTTTAATCTTTAACCGTGTGATGTCTTCAAAGTAATTAACGTTGTCAAATTAGTGTAAAAAGTAAAATATATGCTGCTGAAATGTAGTTGAGTCAAAGTGTAGAGTAACAGAAAACAGAAATACTGTTGATATAATTACCAAGCTCCTCAAAACCATATTTATGTCAGTGTTTGGGTGCCAATCTTCCATTTCTGCCCTCTGAAATATCAAAGAAGCAAATATAAATTACATACAAAAAAAAGAAATCACTGGGTCAAACTGAATTGATCTGCTGGTGCTCTTTTGAAACTTCCATGTCACTACTTTCCATCCATTATCTATACACCACTTAATCCTCACTAGGGTCGCGTGTCCCGACATTGTGATTCTTAAAAGGGCATGGCCCTTATTTTGGACATTAGGGGATAGTTTAAACTGCATTTTGTCAATAAATAGTATTAACAACAATAATAGACTGTATATGAAACTTCTGTAGCACCTTTAAAAATGGTTTGTGCTTTACAAAAAAAGGAACAGAAATATCAGCAATGACACAACTACAAAGACAGAAAGGAGAAAGATGGATAATGGATGGCTATTTTCCCTTTTTTTTTTCTTTTTTTTTTTAAACAGTGCTTTTTTTGGGCTCCTGCTGCTGGAATATAATCTTTGCTCTTGTCATTTGTTTTCCAGAGTGGTGGTTTTTAAACTGACTGAGCTGTTCGGACTGTAAGGGGGAGTTTGTTGAAAAGATTTGGCACTGAAACAGTAAAAGCACAGTTGCCCTTTGTTTTCGGCCTGGACCATCAAACTTTTAACAACTGATCCTCTGATCTGAGGGGTCTGGGTAAGGAATAAGGGGTTTGTAGTTCTGAGATGTTGAGTGGAGCAACAGCTAGTTTTACAGTACGAGGTGTGTCAGAGAAATTTTAGGACTGGTGTCACAAAAGATAGATTTCAAATCCAAACTATAAACTACAAGTTTTTCCCTTTGAGGTAATCCCCCTGGAGTCTAACACACTTTCCCAGCCTTCTCTGCCACCCCGCCATGCACTCCTGGAAGGATTCTTCCAGAATCCTCTGCAGCTCCGTCGTCACAGCCTTGATGGTGTTGACGTCTTCAAAACAGGTCCCCTTGATGACCCCCTTGAGCTTGGGGAAGAGGAACAAATCCCACAGAGCCAGGTGGAGTGAGTAGGGAGGTTGCTCCAACATGGTGATGTCCTTCTCAGTCAGGAACTGTCGGATGCTCAGGACATTGTGAGCAGACGCGTTGTCATGGTGAAGCAGCCATGACTTGTCCTGCCATAACTCTCACCTCTTCTCGCACACTGAACGAAGCAAACGTTGCAGGATCTCTTTGTAGATGTGCTGGCTGATTGTCTGAAGGGGAAAACTTGTTGTTTGTGTTTTAAATATATCTTTTGTGACACCAGTCCTGGAACTTGTATGCAAGAAGAGTTTTTCTGCTAATGAGCATTAACCCTATCCAAGACTTTCATGTTGCCATATGTTGAAGGTCTTCTGCGGGGTCCACTGGATCCCAAGAAAGAATATGTGCAAAATATTTGTTGGTAGTCATTACAGACTTTAATTAATACGTTAATACATTTTCTGATAAGTTGACGTATTTTTGGTTCCAAATGCATGACAAATGTCCCTCTTTATATATATATATATATATATTCAAACATAAAAAAACACAACACCTGTCACTGTCCAAAAGTCCTGAAAAGGGTAAAAAAAACAAACAAACACACACACTAATACTTTACATTTTTTTTTATATGTTTTAATAAACAGGTACAAACTCAAAAAGCAGAACCTCAATGCAACAAAAGCAAACTAACCATGACCAACACACAAGTTAGAAAACCTGTGATCCACCATGTTTGGCATAAACCTGACCAGGACTTCCACAGTGAATAGTCCTGACAGTGAAGCACAGAGGTGGGAGTGTGATACATGGGCCTGTATGAGTGCAAAAGCTATGAGGGAAATTGCATTTATTTGCACCATCACTGCCTGTGGATAAATCAGAATACTGACTGAGAAGACGACTCCCAGTCAGCAGAAGCTTGACAGAAGGAGAATATTCCAGCACGATAATGATCCAAAGTGCAAAAATCATACGAGAGTTTCTGAAAAAAGAAAAGTGAAAACTAAAACCAGACCAAGTATGTTGGTTGACTTGAATCCAACAGAAAAGCTTCGGGGTGTTTTAAAAAGAAAGGTAGAGCAACACACCCCCTCCAGCAAAGAGCAGCTAAAAAGAATTGAACAATAGCAGAACATTAGCTTGACACTGGTATCCTCCATGCCCAAACAGTTTGACAGGAATAAATGAGCTAAAACTATCATTAATTACATATTTGCCGTGTTTTTCACTGTTTTTCATTATTAATTACAGAATTCCACTGCTTTTGTTTGGACTTTTTCTGGCACTCTTGCAGCCTCATTTTCATCTTTTATTTTTTTCCTCCACATTGTGACAGAAAATGGAAATATATATTTGCGTAAAGTGCAGGTGACTTCAAACTATATTTAAGCGTAGTAACTGTGTAAATGTAGTTAGTGACATCCCTCCCCCTGATTAGCACAGTTCATAAATCAAAGCAGTGAGGATTGTCACTTGCAGGCAGACGTGGCTCCGCCTTTACGCACGTCCTCCCCGCCCCGCTCATTACCGATGCGGCCACCCAGCGGACACACAGCGGCTGCTGCACTTTGAAGTCCGCCTGTTGTGATCAGTGAGCTGCCGAAGTCCGGACCGAAGGCACGCAGTGGGACATTTCCTCTCAACGCTCGGGAGTCTACGAAGCGATCTCTGGTCTTTTTTTTAACGCCTCGACAAGAAAGGACGCTGTTGTGCCGTTTCGTGGACTTTTGTTGTTGTTGTTGTTGTTGTTGTGGATTCGAAATCGGAGTGTAGGAGCCATGTCGGAGCTGAAGATGCTTCAAACCAAGTAGCGCACCGGGACTGAGAGGCTTCTCCGTCCTTCGGGACATTTAAGGACGCCCAGCTGTGTTTTTGTGTCTGCTTGGATTACATTTACGCATCACAAAGTAACGCACATCTCAAAGCGCTGCGCCCTCTCTCCAATGAAATATCTCCCTTCAGGATCAGCTACGGATCGAGTCAGTCAGCGGATCGAGCTCAGTGAGACCACCGACTCTAAAAACTCTCGTCCCGGTGCCGTGGTCTCTTTGTTGACCCCTCTGGACCCACTTCGGCAGGCAAAGCGGCTCCCTATCCGAGTCATCAAGATGTTGACGGCGCACACTGGACACTTGCTACACCCGGAATATTTACAGCCTCTAACGTCCGCACCAGTCAGCATCGAGGTATTTATTGTCTGTTCTACTTTTATTTTACGGAGAAGACTGTTGTTCCTCTGCAGTGTTCCTGATTTCACAGCAGGGAGGAGAAAATGTAAAGATATGGTAAAGACAAGCCCTGAGTAGGAGCGAAATCACAGAAAAACTCTAAAATAAACGTTTCCAGCTTCAGCTTTGTGTTACTTCAAACTCATATTCTCTGGTAAGATCCTACTGATCTTAATAAATTAACCCAAAATTCAAGTTTATGATTAAATTAGCAAAGCAGTCAGTCCATAGATTTACTTTTCTGATAATCAAATCACTGTTTTGCATTTTTTTTTAGCAGCTAAAATCAGATTTTCTCTTCTTTTCAGCTATTTTATTGAAGTAGAGCACCAAGTTCTAATTATTTTTGTTAAATATCAAAAAAATATCCATCACAACTTCCCAGAATCCAAGGTGAAGTCTTCATGTGTCTGCTTTTGTTTAAACAAAAGCATAAAATAAGATATTCAGTAAAATGATTAAATGAAAAAAGGAAAAAAATATTTTACTATTTTTACAGCTTTTGCTTGAAAATGCTGATTATTTTTCTGTCTTGCAAATCCTAAAGGTTTAAGGCTTCACAGCCTCCTGGATGCTATATTGAGCATTTTCAGCTCCTTTGCAGGTTTATTACAGACGGAGCAGTAAACCGTTAGGAGCTTTTAAGCACTTTACGGATCTACAGAAAGACACAAAAGCTTTAGTGGGTTGCTGAAGTTCATTTGCTTTTTAGAAAGCGACAGAGCGCAACATTTTTTTTTGCATGAAAGCCAAACAGTTCCTTTAAAAAAATGACAAGAATCTGTAATTTTGTTGTAGCTGGATGCCAAGAAGAGTCCCCTGGCCCTGCTGGCTCAGACCTGCTCTCAGATCGGTAAACCAGACCCTCCGTCCTCCTCCAAGCTGGGCTCCTCCTGCAGCCAGGGGGACAAGGAGCCCAGCAGCCGGTCATCCAGCCTGAAGCTGGGGGAGCACCGCCCCTCCCTGGACGATAAATCCAGCTTCAAGCCTTACAACAAAGGCAGCGGAGACTGTCGCAGAGACACAGTCACCAGCAGCAGCAGCAGCAGCAGCTCCAGCAGCGATAAAGCCGGCTTCAGGGTGCCCAGCAGCAGCAACGTTACCACTAATGGAAATTCGAGCAGCGGCGGTCAGCAGAGCTACCCGCCTCACGCTGCTTCACCCAGCTCCAGAGGCAGCAGCAGCACCCCACCTGGACAGCAGCAGCATCACAAACAGAGCCAGTCTCCTGGTGGACAGCCCACCTCGCACTCCCACACTGCCAACGGTGAAGCTGCACACGAGCAGGGCAGTCCCACGAGCACGAGCAATAACAATAATAATAGTAATAATCCCAAAAAAGACATTGATGTAAACAAGGCTGGCTCAGACAGTCCGCATCACGCCAACTCCAGTCTGGTTCGAGCCAGCACAAACTGCAGCAACGGCAGCTCCGACGGCGGTTCCAACCACGATGGAGGTAAAGCCGAGCCCTCCCAGCCGAACCTCGGCCCCGGACACATTACCCCCATCTCTCCCTACAAGACGAGCCAGCCGCTCTTCCCCCTGCCCTCCTCCAACATGGGCTACCACGGATCTGTGGTGGGGGGATACGCAGGCTACCCGTCCCAGTTTGTTCCTGGGCTCGACCCGACCAAGTCGAGCCTCAGCGTGGGAAGCATGGGAGTACCAGGGAAGCACCCGAGCTCCAGCCCGCTCACGGGTGCCTCCCCCCCTTCCTTCATGCAGGGTTTATGCAGGGACCCGTACTGCCTGAGCTACCCCAGTGTCTCCCATCTTGGTGGAAGCAACTGCAACTCCTGCATCCACGACCCGTCCTCCACCCTCAAATCCAGCTTCCCTCTGGTGTATCCGTCCCACCCGCTCCACTCCCTCCACCAGAGCTCACTGTCGTCCAGCGTGTCCTCCTCCCTGTCTCACCCCCTCTACACCTATGGCTTCATGCTCCCCAACGACCCCCTGCCTCACGCCTGTAACTGGGTCTCTGCCGGAGGGCCGTGCGACAAGCGTTTCGCCACGTCAGACGAACTCCTGGCTCACCTCCGCACGCACACGGCTCTGCCCGTGGGGATGGACAGCAAGCTGCTCTCGGTTTCCTCGTCTGGACCCGCCTCCTGCCACCTTCACCTCCCTCACCAGAGCAGTCCAGGCTCCATGCCCAGCTCCCTCTCTCTCAGGGCTCCCCCCAGCCTGGGCTTAGCTCGCTATCACCCCTATAGCAAGGTCCATCTGCCCCCTGGACCCTCGTCCATCTCTCTGCACTCTCTGCCCACCACGGGCCCCTACTACCCCCACTACGCCCTCTACAGTCAAAGACTTGGTTCTGCATCTGCTCTTGGATACCAGTAATACGCAGCACACTTAAATGTTTATCAGAATGGTGCGACATGTTTTTTTTTGAAATACGCCTATTTGTCTTCTGGCAGAGAGTTAAATCAGAACACTGATGGCACTCTCTTATCTGTCTCTTAAATATGAAGCTACAGGCAGCAGCCAGTTAGCTTAGCTTAGCATAAAGCGGGGGAAAACTGGGGAACAGCAGAATCCACCTATCAGCAACCGTAAAGCTCATGATGTTTAAACTAAAATCATGGCATGAAAACATCATGACTCAAGACTCCAGGCGAGAAATAATGAAACACGTGGCTTCTCATAAAACGTGAAATTGTTGGTTGTACTTTATGGTTTAAACTTTTTTAATCCTTTGAACCTCAAGCAGTTATTGGGCATGTTTTGCCCCCATTCTTGCCTCCTGTTTTCTCTGTTTAAACACAGCCTGCAGGTCAGCCCAGTTCACCTGAAATGCCCATAGGTGTTACTAATGCTGGACAAAAACAAAAAAGAGAACTCTACATACTATCGCTATTTTACAACTTCCGCATCGTCTCCCATCTACTTTGTGCAACCAGCCTGCAGTTCAGTCGACACGTGTCATGTGACTGTTGAGTCACTAATAGCTTCACGATTACACAAATGTGCTCAGAATTCTTTCTCTTTTTACAGAATCTGATTCATGCAAATGCTTTATATTTGGCAAATTTTTAAACAAAATGCGTAGAATAAAGTGATTTTGATGAAATATTGTGTTTTTAAGCTTAGATTCTGAGTTTCCTGATGAAATGGCATGTGATCAATTCAAAGACCATTGGAGCAAAAAATGTTTCTGCTTCGATAAGTACTGTAATTTGGGCATTTTTAAAAAATAAAACAACATGGCGTTTAAACCTGCAAGTGGGTTCTGGAGCTCAGATGATTCTACTAACATCATGTAATGTGTTAAAGGTGCAAGTCTGTATCATCACACTGAGCCACGCTAGCTGTTTCCCCCTGCTTCTATTGTTTATGCTAAGCTACGCTAACTAGCTGCTGGCTGAAACATAATATTAAGCAGGCAGACATCACGGTAGTGTCAGTCCTCTCAAACAGGAAGCCATTGGGCACATTCACAAAAATGTTGAGCTATTACTTTAAGTTAGTAGTTAATTGTGGCAAGTTGCTGCTTTCTCTGACTTCAGACCGGATTTGTGGAACTAGGAAGGGGCGCGCCAGTCCTGGATTTTGACTTGAGAGCCGCTTCACACTTGGTTTATGCTTTATATATGAGATGGTGTTTCTAATCAGTCCCACTCCTAAAGATCAGAGGACACATGGCTCTTACACGTCTGCACATTGCTTGGATACTTCTGCAACAGACGTGACGGCCCTGAGGTGACTTTGGCCGCCCCGTGGGCTTGGCAAATTGATGGTTGGACGCTGTGTAAAAAGCTCTTGGATGTTCAGGGTTCTTGCTGCAAATGATGATGATTTAGTGCAGAAAAATGCGGCGTGTCCGGGATGGCAGTCAGCAGCAGCAGCCTTGGGCTGATGTAAGCCTGGCCGCGGCCGCCTCCTCCCTGCAAGAGATGCATGTAAGCTCAACACAGCAGACACACTTAACAGCCCCACGGTTTGTGATGATTTGTTTTGGTTCCTTATGTTTGGTTTATTCCTACTGAGAAGTTGTATTTATTTTATACGGGGAATCTGATTTTAATGTTTACCATATAAATCTGTTCTCATTTTACGGTCCTCTGAGCAGACATGTGGGAAGCCAGATGACAGGTGTTGAATATGTCGTGTCTTAACACTTCTTCTAGAATGAATGTTGAAATCACATCTCGCTCCCAACTCCTTTTTGATTGTTTTTATTTTCACAGCAAATCAATAAAACTGAGATGTGATATTTTTTGTAAAATTGGAGCACCCTGTGGGGGGATCCAACGAAAGGGGAGGTCATATTTTGGTAAATAAATAACACTGAAGATGTATATTTATTCTGTTGTCTTCATTTCTAACACAGTTAGACAGCAAGGAGACGTATTATCTTTGTTTCTATACAGCTTCACGAGTCCAATAGCAGCCACCAACAACTTAGATTATGATGTTTAAGTATTCTTATTTAGTTAGAATATAGCAACACTTAGATTTTTAATGATAATCTTGAACCCTAAGCAGTTTTTGGCATTCTTTAGTCCTGTCACAGTTTTTACTCACTGTTGCCTCACAACAGTGAGTAAAAACAACAAAAAACTGGAATCTACACACTATATATATTTGACTAATTGCATTTTTAGTTTGGATCCATACATGGAAACACACTCTGCAGTTCAGTCCACAAGTGACTGATTTTTTTTCCTGTGACTGTTGTTCACAGCTGAGGCACTAATCGCATTTTGGTTGCGCAGAGAAGCGCAGAATTTTTATTTTTTTTTTACAGCATCTAGTCAGCGTAAGTGGTTTATTTTTGGCAATTTTTAAAATGAGAAATCTAGAATACAGTGATTTTGATGAAACATTATATAATATATAAATATATATAAATATTATATAATATATATATAATTATATTATATAATTTTCCTGATGGATTGACCATCACAGATAAGTATCTCAAGGAACATTGGAACTTTTTTTTTTTTTTTTTTACGACAACATACCTTTTAAGCCCACAAACAACTTTTGTGTTTCAGAAGGTTCATTAAGGTCAATCTGTTTAGAAACAGCAAGTCACTTTTGTTTGACACAATCCACACCCAAACACAAGCTGATGTACTGACAAGTGATATTTCCTTTATTCACAACAAAGACATGGTGCAGACAACACTTATCATGTCAGGAGACTACCTCTTAGAAAAATCAAGAACAACTAGAAATGTGTCCTAATTATTGTCGTGGCCAGTTCTGCCGGTTCACAGCTCTCTGGCTGAGAGCAGCCGCAGAGTGGGAGAACAGGTGAGGTGGTGAAAGGAAGATGTAAACTTTTGTCAGCATACGTGTCAGTGAGGCTTTGATGGTGATCCGGATGTGTACAGGTGGCTATTTTTAGTATGAAAGAATCACATGATTGATGACTTTGGGCGTTTTTTACTGTCGACAGTGAATCGGCCACAGAGCTGCAGCCACACGGCTTCACCTTAAAGCAGAAGCATCCTGATTTCACAGATTGAACGTGCTGCATACGTAGAAACAGCGACATCTGTGGAAGTCAGACCCATCAGGGTGTAATGTATACATACTGTAAGATCCTGATAAGCATCACAGCCGCTTCCCGACGAAGCCCTGACAGTCGCTCGAGTTACCTAGTCTGCCACATGATTGGCAGCAGTAATATGCCATTTCCTAGCAACATGACACTGTGACACCCTCAGCGAAGTATAGATGACCCACGCTGGTCACTCACAACTCTGACAAGAGACCCACAGGGGTCAAAGGAGCCTGTCCCCGCTGTAACAAGAGACAGCACTCCTGTTTCAGTGGTCTGAGATGCTGTTATGGAGTGTCTGAGTTCGGCAGGAGGGCAGGAGATCTCGCGGGCCCACTCTGAAGGTTTCATGTTGCCAGATATGGCCTGGAAAACAGACGCACTTAGTTTATTAACTCTAAGAAATTAGTTGGCTGCCGCTACCACAGAGCTTCACTCCTCTCCTCCTAGACTTGTGGTTGAAAATATTTCAAGGTGGTTTTGTTGGATTTCAGGGCTCGTTTGCTTTTCAGGTATTTCAGTCGGTAGTGTTTTACTCTTACAAAGGTGTGAAGTGTAGCGCTGGATTGGGATGCCACCTATTGGTGACCAATAATATCATTTTTTTAAATCAAATGCAATAAAAAGGGAGCTTTAGCTGCCAAAGGTGCTGTGTTTCATTAAATGTTTGTCATCAACCTGCTCAGGCACTTCAGAAAATCGGACACATCTGATGTTAGTAATGCACTGTGATGACCGTTGAAGAACATGGAAGTCATACAAGAAGAAGATTATATGTGTTGGATTGTTAATTTCATTAATCAGTTAGTTGTCAGCCAATAAATTATTTGCCAACTGTTTTGATAATCACTTTGAATTTTTTAGATTTTTTTTTTAAAAAGAAAAAAGTCAAAATTCTCAGATTCCAGCTTCTTCAATGTAAATACTTTCTGGTTTCCTTATTTCTTGATGACAGCAAACAAAATATCTTCAGACTGTGGACAAAACAAGATGTATGTCACCGTGGGCTTTGTGAAACACTGATTGACATTCGGATCATTTCCTAACATGTTACAGACCAAACAACTAATCAATGAATTAAGAAGATAATAGTTACATTCAGGCCCTGCGATAGACTGGCGACCTGTCCAGGGTGTCCCCTGCCTTCGTCCTAAGTCGGCTGGGATAGACTCCAGCCCCCCCGCGACCCCAGTGAGGATTAAGCGTTATATAGATAATGGATGGATGGATAGTTACATTCAGCTCTTTCTTAGAGGTGAAAGCAGGGAAGCAGCAGCAGCATTTTATCAACCCAGATTTACATTCAGTTTAATCCTTCTTTTGTGAAATTCATTGTTAAATAAACAGAAGATTAGTTTTGAATATCAGGCTTCCAAATCTCATCTGATCCAAGTCTCATTAGTTTGTGGTGACAAAAAATTGACTATGTAATTTTAAATGCATTTTAATCCTTAATCCTGAAATGTTGACATTTCATCTTTTAAAAGAAATTGCTAAAATGACACCATTCATCAGAGCTAGAAACTATAAAAGCAACTAGAAAATTTCCTTGCAGAAAATTTGAGAGTGCCATGGAAGTCTGCCGGGATTTAAATGATGATTTTATCATTTTCAAACCTACTAAAAACTTTGAACAACCAAAGCCTCATCTGTGTAGAGAGAGCAGAGGGGGAGGGGGGGAGGAGAGTAGAGTTAGAGTGTTGCCGGGCAACCAAGCACACAGCTGCAACAGATACTTGGTTTAACTGTCAAATCAGTAGAAGAAACCAGAAGGAGAAGACCTCAAACAACCGCCATTTATGTCAAAACCGTGTGTCAGAGACAAAAGTGCTCAGCCCGTGGCACTAAATATTTAAATATATGTAATTATTATTATTAATAATATGTAAATATTTGTGCTGTGCAGTCCTGGATCAGAGTGAAGGAGTTTGAACAAGTTGTGAACAACCAATGATAATTTCATCTGCACACTTCCTGATCCTGGAGATATAATGAGTCATTGAGGGATGGTGAAGGCGACTTTCTTTCTTTTCTGCTGTCCTAACAATGTTGGATTCTATTCTTTTCTTGTGTAGTTGCATATCCTCCTTCCTAGATTCTGCAAGGGTTGCACCTTGTCCCTGAACCTATTTGTTATATTCATGGAGGCACAGCTGGGGTGCCTTTACTTTGACAGTTTTCCGGGCATGTTCGATTGGGAGGAGACCCTTAAGGTAGACTCACTAGAGGGATTACATATGTCATCTGGCCTGGGAATGCCTTTGGGATTCCCAGCAGGAGCTGGGAAACGTTGCTGGGAAGAGGGACATCTGGAATGCCCTGTTTAGCCTGCTGCTACTGCAACTTGACCCTGTATAAGTGGAATTAAATGGGTGGATCGGAGAAGCACTGGGTGGCTTCTTCTAAAATCCAATGCCAACTCAAAAGTCTTCTGCATGTTAAGCTCCAGATAATTCAAACTAGATGACCCACCTCCCTCCTTTATGCAAACTTATTGTTGAGTGTTGTATCATCTGCTAGCTTCAAGAGCATTACAGAAGTGTCCTCAGAAGTCATTTCTGTAGAAGGATAATAGCATTAGAGAGAGGATCCAGCCCTGAGAGACACCTGTGCATGTGGTCAAAATGATGATGTAGATAATGATGGAATAAAAATTCTGAGTTTAATGACAACTTGTCACAATGACGTTGATATCGGTAGTTCTAATACAGGATAGTTAAACATCTTGTCATAGTGTTACGCTGTCTGGAGAAGGATGTCAGGACATTTTAAGTGTCTAATAAGTGGCACAATCAATGTTACTGTGACTGCTGTCGATACTGGGAAATGAAACAAAGTGGATTCACAAACAAACTGACTGAAGACACAAAACAATCTTAAAGATGAAAAACTAAAAAAGACACAGAATGACTGCAAATGAACATGAAATGAGCAGAAAGAGACAAAATGACAGATGATGTGAGTCACCTGACCAGGTTCTCTTCTCTCTACAGGTAAACCTATAACCATGGCCCTGCCCAATTGTGTTCAGGCTACTCTGCCACCTGCTGGTGTTCTGTCCATACTTCACCTCAACGGTCCTCATGGTGTCTTTGTATGGACACAGAGCTACAGGTAACACTGATCAATCACTGACCTTTCAATCAATCAATATATCAATTTATCTTCTGATCAAGTATCATGGTTTTGCTTTGATGAAAATGAAATGAATGAATGAAATGAAAATGAAATGAAAATGAATGAATGAAAATGAAATGAATGAAATGAAAATGAAAATGAAAAATACTTTATTCATCCCAGAAGGGAAATTGATCTGTGATCACCTCATCTGACAGTCTCCATGGCGACATCTCCCATCCACGCTGAGCAGGGATTGGCTGATGACCATGGGCCGGTCACCATCGAGCATCACTTCTGAGTCCATCAGTCACATGGTGTGATCATCCTTAACTGCTGCTTCACAACGAAAATCCTTCTGTCTCTGGGTACCTGTTTTCCATTCTACTGCCACAATGCTGTAAAGGTTTTGGAAAAAAAAAAAAACAATTGAAAAGATTATTCTGGTTCTCAACTTCTTTGGAGGACTAGATGTTTATGCTCCACACCCCAACTAAATAATTATTTTCATTTTGTATTGTTAGAACACCATTGTGATGTGCCCCCTGCCTTCGCCCTAACTGGGCTGGGATAGACTCCCCCGTGACCCTAGTGAGGATTAAGCAGTGTATAGATAATGGATGGATAGATTGTAACTATATTGAAAGAATTTCACCACAACAATAGGGA